GTTCCTGATCTGTAACATGAGGGAGGCCTCCTGGGCTCTTGTCACTCTAGCTGTCCCCGGACCAGCCTCAGGGCCACCCAGAGGGTGCTGCCGCGGGGACAGCACCCACCTGTGCCCTCCTGTGGGGCCTGCTGCTCTGGGCCTGGCAGTGCTCTCCGGGGGGGCCCGCGGGGCGGGGGGGCCCGCAGGGAGGGGGAGCCCCCAGGGAGGGGGAGCCCCCAGGGGGGGGAACCCCCAGGGAGGGGGAGCTCACAGGGGGGGGAGTCTGCAGGGAGGGGGAGTTTGCAGGGAGGGGGAGCCCCCAGGGGGGGGAGTCTGCAGGGAGGGGGAGCCCGCAGGGAGGAGGGGAGTCTGCAGGGAGGGGGAGTCTGCAGGGAGGGGGAGTCTGCAGGGAAGGGGAGCACAGGGCTGGGGCTGCAGGGCCAGGGGAAGAGCCCAATGAGGGAGCACAGGAGGACGGGCTGGAAGAGCACTGACTGCCCAGCAGCCTGCTGCCCTGGTGATAGGAGGAGACTGAGGCGCAGAAGCCACGGGCACGGGGCCGCCCAGGCCGTCCACTGCGGAGTGGCAAAGGTGGAGGCCAGGCCAGGCTCCACTGACTAGTACAGATCCCACCGCACCCGCACTGCCAACGCCGTTTCGACATTTTTATTTTAAAATTTTTAATTATCCATCATCCTGGAAGGGGCCGTTGACCAAACCATTAAGTGGCCAAGCCAGTTTGTGTATTTCTTTCTGGCTCTAGGGTGTATCTGAGACTCCTTTTTCTTGGCTGGAGGGGGTGGCCAGCAGGGAGCACGGGGGAGGTTGAGAGAGGGGGTGGCCAGCAGGGAGCACGGGGTGGGGTTGTGGAAGGTTGAGGGAAGGGTGGCCAGCAGGGAGCATGGGGGAGACTGTGGGAGGAGGGTGGCCAGCAGAGAGTGTGGGAGGAGGGTGGCCAGCAGGGAGCATGGGGGAGAGTGTGGGAGGGGTGGCCAGCAGGGAGCATGGGGGGAGACTGTGGGAGGAGGGTGGCCAGCAAGGAGCACGGGGGAGAGTGTGGGAGGGGTGGCCAGCAGGGAGCACAGGGGGAGAGTGTGGGAGGGGTGGCCAGCAGGGAGCACGGGGGAGGTTGAGGAAGGGGTGGCCAGCAGGGAGCACGGGGGAGACTGTGGAAAGGGATGGCCAGCAGGGAGCACGGAGGAGAGTGTGGGAGGGGTGGCCAGCAGGGAGCACGGGGGAGGTTGAGGAAGGGGTGGCCAGCAGGGAGCACGGGGGGAGAGTGTGGGAGGAGTGGCCAGCAGGGAGCATGGGGGGAGACTGTGGGAGGAGGGTGGCCAGCAGAGAGTGTGGGAGGAGGGTGGCCAGCAGGGAGCACGGGGGAGAGTGTGGGAGGGGTGGCCAGCAGGGAGCACGAGGGAGGTTGAGGGAGGGGTGGCCAGCAGGGAGCACAGGGGGAGAGTGTGGGAGGAGTGGCCAGCAGGGAGCATGGGGGGAGACTGTGGGAGGAGGGTGGCCAGCAGAGAGTGTGGGAGGAGGGTGGCCAGCAGGGAGCACGGGGGAGGTTGAGGGAGGGGTGGCCAGCAGGGAGCACAGGGGGAGAGTGTGCAGACCCTGGTCTCGGGAAGCAGGTTGCACAGCTCTGGCTGCCAGAACATGAGCCCCAGGGGTCCCTCTCTGTTCTAAAGAAATTGGTTCTGGCTGGTTTGGGAATGCCCAGGAATGGCCCTGCCGACCAGCGGGAGGACCAGCGGGGAGGTCGGCAGCTGCCCCATTCTCTGGGAACAGTCTCCATCCCCTCATGCCCAGGAGCCCATGCCCAGATGGGTCAGCTCGCCTCGGCCTCGGCCAGTGGTGACAAGCTCCCACCGCTGCCCAGCAGGGCCAGGTGAGGCAGGCAGGGCACTTCCCGGGCAGGCTCCCCGCCTCCCCTTCCTGCCTACCTCTATGCCTCCCTCCTGCCTGGCACTGGGCCTGGGCACAAGAAGCCCCTGTGGGCATCAGGTGTCCTTCTCAAGAATGACAGGGTGAGAGGGTCCAGCCTGGACAGGGCAGCCCGCCGGCCACCAGCCTCCCCCAGCCCCTTTCCTGAGCCCCTGCTGTCTTACTCAGCACCTTCCTGGCCCCTGCTGTCCCCATCAGCCTCCCAGTCCCCCGTGCTTTCTCCTTTCTCCACGCCACCATCCTGAGCGCTGGGATGAGACAGACCTTCCTCAAGCCCTCGTCCCATTTCCCAGCCACATTCAGCACCTCCTCAGGCCAGCACAGTGCCAGGCCCAGGGTCCCACAATGCACAGCGGCAGCGGATGCCTGGCGGGGAGGAGGGGGCGAGGAGGCCAGCAGTGCGCCTGGAGCTCCCAGCAGAGGGACCTGGGCTCCTGTTCCAGCGACTGTGGCTGTGACGTTGCTTCCTGAGACCAGCCTCTGCACAGGCTTCCTCATGCTCCCTGCTGGCCACCCCCCACTTGGCTGGGACTGCAGCCCAATGCCAGCCTTCCAGCCACACACACACACACACACACACACACACACACACACACACACACGCATGCCCTCCTCCATGGACGTGGACCATGGCATGCAAGACCTGGGGTTGAGTCCAGGCTCTGCCAGTTTCTTTCTCAGTCTTTCTCAGCCTCATGTACTTTGGGTCAACAATGGCAAAGTTGCCAAAACCGGTTTGGCTCAGCGGTAGAGCGTCGGTCTGGGGACTGAAAGGTCCCAGGTTCGATTCCGGTGAAGGGCATGTACATTGGTTGCGGGCACATCCCCGGTAGGGGGTGTGCAAGAGGCAGCTGGTCGATGTTTCTCTCTCATCGACGTTTCTAGCTCTCTATCCCTCTCTCCTCCTCTCTGAAAAAATCAATAAAATATGTTTTTTTAAGAAATGGCAAAGTCTGCCTCCCGGCACGGTCACGTGCAGGTGTCTTGGACGCTAAACAAGCGTTAGTCGTTGTCATGCGAACTTCCTCCAGTGCCCTGGCGCCTTCCCGTCTGGTGAGTGAGCCCGGCCGGTCCCTCCACCTGCCCCAGGACGGATGACTGAGCGCTCGCTCAGGGCTCCCGGCAGGAGGCCACGGGCAGCTCTTTAGGGAGCATCTGTCCCCGGGCACCTGTGCTTTCCCCGGGTGGCGAGTGAGTGGTGGGGATGTCACCCTGTCTCCTGGGTCAGTGCAGGGGACCTCTGAAGGAGAGAGGGACCGGACCCTCTTGGGGTCCCTGAAGTCGGGCCAGACAGGAGGGGGCAGCATCGGGGCTCCTTGAACATCTGTGCAGGGGAAAGAAGGGGAAGGAGAGCTGTTTCGAAAGTCCTGCGTTTTTCGTGCCCTGTGGGGGCGTGGGCATCTCCTGAGTCGGCATCAGAGGCAGTCGAGCAGCAGCCTCCAGGTTGCCGGAAGCAGAAGCTCAGTGGGCAGCCCAGGCTGCCAGCGTCGGGGGCGGGGGGGGGGGGGGGCGGAGCAGGGCTGGCGGGGCCGGGGCGGGGGCAGGGCATCCCTGTTTTCCTCACAGCGGCCGGGTGAGCGGGCTTTCCCACGCCCCTCACACCACGCGGAGTGGGAATAGGCAGGGGTCATGGTCACGGTCAGTAATCTGGCAGATCAGCCTGGACACAAGAAAGAGGAAATAACGGACGGACTGCTGCGGTCCGCAGAGCCCTCTGAGAAAGGATTTGATCGAAGATGGGCGAGATGAGAGCTGAGCGCCAGGGCCAGAGGCCGGAACCTCCGGGGAGGCGGCGGCAGGGTCTGGGGGAGCTGTCGGTTCAGGCACATCTCGCCGCGTGCCCTGCGCCTTCCCACGCTCAGCAGCCGCAGGGCCTCCCAACGCCTCATAACTCCACGGCTTCTCCCGCCCAGAACCTCCTGCTGCCCCGTCTCCTTCCTCCCCACGTTAGCCTTGCAGGCTGGCCCCAGAAACACGAGGCTTCCTTCCTCCCTCCGAGAGGGGCTGTCGGGCAGGGTGTACTTTATTCTGTGATTCCTGAACGGCAGTCGGCATTCCTCTCGGGTGGCATTCCCTCGCCAGGGCACTCCCTTCTGTGTCCTTTCTGAGACCGCGGCCTTGGACACCTTCCGCGTCCTCTGGTGGTTCCTCCTACATCCATGCTTCAGGTGGGAAGAGGAGCGAGGAGCACGTATACTTCATTAACTTAGTTTAGTCAAGAGCAATTTGATTTTCTTTCTCTTCATTTGGTAAAAATTGCTCTGGGCCGAAACCGATTTGGCTCAGTGGATAGAGCGTCGGCCTGCGGACTGAAACGTCCCAGGTTCGATGTTGGTCAAGGGCATGTACCATGGTTGCGGACACATCCCCAGTAAGGGGTGTGCAAGAGGCAGCTGATGGATGTTTCTCTCTCATCGATGTTTCTAACTCTCTGTCCCTCTCTCTTCCTCTCTGAAAAAAAAAAAAATCAATAAAAATATTTTTAAAATAAAATAAAAATAAAAATTGCTCTGGGGTGCTAAGACCTGGATAGAGCCTTGGGCGCCCCATTCATTCCCTCTCTCATCCATTCATTCCCTCGCGGGGGATAGGCCCTCCGCCCGCCTGTGGTAGGCTGCTCCGGGGAATGCCTCTCAGTGGGGGTGCCCACAGAGCCCCCCCCATCCAGATACTTGCCAGATGCAGGGCCCAACAGCTCTGCGCATCAAGGGGTCACCAAATCGCCCGACACCTCACTGTGGGGCCTTGGGTTCAGGCGATGGTGCTTCATGCATGTGGCCCAGTTCCCTTGAGATACTCAAACCAGACTCCCCTCTAAGCATTTAAAGGTAAACAATATAGACTCGTTGTAATAAAATAATAGCAGTCACACTATATGAAGGCCCACTTGTCCCTGCACGTCCTGTCCGCAGTTCTCCCAACACGGCCCCTGAGGCCTGGGCTCCTTAAACATCTTGCCTGCAAACCCAGAGCCTCTTCCCAGCGCCCCTTCCTTCCACCGCCGCATGGGGGGCCTGCCCCGCGGGCCCCGGGCCCCTCCCTGACCGCCCCCCCCCTGTCCCCCCTCCCCCTCGCAGCCTGGCGCAGTCGCTGTGGGCCCTCTTCGCCTCCTCGCTGACCATCTCCCTGGTGTTCGCCGTCATCCCGCTCTGCCGCGATGTGAAGGTGCTGGCCTCCGTCATGGCGCTGGCCGGCCTGGCCATGGGCTGCATCGACACCGTGGCCAACATGCAGCTGGTGAGGATCTACCAGAAGGACTCGGCCATCTTCCTCCAGGTGAGCCCGCGTGGGCACAAGCTGGGCACGGGGAGGGGCCTGGCCCTCGTCCGTCCGTCCCTCCCAGCCCCTCTGCCCGGGCCTCGGGTGGTGATGCAGAAGCGGCAGCGGGGGTGCAGTTCAGTGTGACCAGCTGGGCCAGCGGCTCTGGATGTTGTAACGGCCCTGCCTGCAGGGTGGTCCCGGGAGTCTGGGCACCAACCAGGGAGTTCGCTGTCCCTGGGAAGTGGCGTGGCGGGGCTGTTTGCCTCCTGTCTCCTTCCACTCTCTGCATTTCTTTCTTCTTTTTTAAAAAATATATTTTATTGATTTTTTACAGAGAGGAAGGGAGAGAGATAGAGAGCTAGAAACGTCGATGAGAGAGAGACATCGATCAGCCACCTCCTGCACACCCCCCACCGGGGATGTGCCCGCAACCAATGTACATGCCCTTGACTGGAATCCAACCTGGGACCCTTCAGTCTGCAGACTGACGCTCTATCCACTGAGCCAAACTGGTTTTGGCTGCATTTCTTCTTGTTTCCTCATCCTCCAGTTACCTGGGCCTCCAGCCCTTCCCTTTCCCAGCCCTCTCCCCTTTGGAGATGCTAACAGGGGGAACAGCCCCTCACTGGGGGTGAAGATTTGGGAAAGGAGGGGGAGCAGCCACTGTCATCACCATCCCAGGACACGCAGTGGCTGGGGAGCTCACTCCCTCTCCTTCCCACACCCTCGCTCCCACCTGGGCCGGGCAGGGGCTCCCCGAGGGGACGCAGACGTGGGTGGGGTATGACGCCTCAGCCATCACCCCCCATCCCACCCCTCCTTCCCCAGGTCCTCCATTTCTTTGTGGGCTTCGGGGCTCTGCTGAGCCCCCTTATCGCCGACCCCTTCCTGTCGGAGAACAGCTGCTTGCTGGCCAACGGCACGGTCAACGTCACCGCTAGCAGCCACCTCTTCCACGCCTCCCGGGTCCTGGGCCAGCACCACCCGGGGGCCTGGCCTGGGGCCAACCAGACACTCCCCGGCCCATCCCCGCCGGACGGAGCAAGGACCCGCGTGTCCTACGCCTTCTGGATCATGGCCCTGATCAACGTGAGTGCCCTGGGAGGGGCGGGCGGGGTGGGACTAGCCGTCAGTCAACGGCCGTGAGCATCAGCCCATCCCAGCTCCTGCTGGGGATTTTTCCGATTCTGAGAAACTGAATTGGTTGAGGCTGAGAGTGCCCTCGAAAAAGCAAGCGGACGGGGAGAGCTGACCCCCAGGATTTACCTGAGCACAAGGAGGCTGCAGAAGCTCACCTCCAGGGCCTTCGGGGGGCGCCTGTGATGTGGCTGCAGTTCCCCGGGGAGACAGGGCAGGGCAAGGGGTGGCCCAGTGGAGGCAGGGCCCACCTGCCAGTTGTCAGGGGAAGGGGACCCGGGGCCGGAGGCTGCAGACCAGGCCGGGCTCTTCTCTGGGCTCCTGAAAGGAGACTGACTACCTCACCGGACTGAGTCAAACACTGAGCCCCTCTGAGGCCTCAGCTCACACCCTCCCCGTCAGCACAGACTGGTCTCTGGCTGGAGACCTCCTCTGCAGCTCTGTGACCCAGGCTGGGTCCTCCCAGGGTAGCCTGGGCTGGGACAGAAGGAGAGTGGGGAGATCCCCCCACCCCAGCCTCTGGCCCTGCTCCGAGGAACTCAGGAGCAGCCCTGGCCTCCCGGTTTGGGCCCAGCAGGGGCTGGGAGTGGGGAGTGTTCCGGTGGCCACTGGCCTGCTGACGGGGGTGGAGTCCCCGCATGGCTCGTCACTCTGCCTTAGAGCCTCTCCTGCACTAAGCGGACTTGTTGCCCCCAAGAAGGGTTGGCGGGGTTCCAGCAAGACTGGCGGCTGCCAGCTGCCGCCGGGACTCGGGGTGCTGCCGTGCACGTGGCACTGAAAGGGGCTCTTGAGACCGCCGGTCAGCCCTCTGAGCCTCGGTGTCACACCGTCACGGCTCAGCGCCCTCATGGGGGCCAGCAAGAGGCCAGGCCAGGCTGGAAGCCCGACCCCTAGCCCAACCTCCTGCCTGCAGTCACTGCTCAGGGGCCTTCCTCCTCCTCTGTAACCTCCTGCTCCCGGAACACAATCTTCCCCTCGCCCTCCGCTTCCTCCCTCTCCTGCCTGCCCATCACTGCTTGGGAACAACGTGCATTGGGCTGCGATGTCCGAGGAGACCTGCACAGGGAAGGAGCGGAGTCATGTCAGCCGGGGCTCTGGGGCCAGGAGGCTGGAGGTTCACAAAAGCCGCGGTTTCTCCTGCCCCCCAAGGTGCAGGCTGGAGGCGCTTTGTTTGCTGTGGGGTTTTCGTACCTTTTCCATCACTTTGTGTCTGAAGGTAAACCGCCCACACAGAGGGAATGAGACCGTGCAAGCGAGCATGTGGGCAATGGTGGGTGGGTATGCATGCGCACACACACACACACCACACACACACACACACGCATGCACACATATACACATGCACACATACATATATACAGGCGCACACACACACTGCCCACCTGGCACTCTCTGACGTCCAAGGTGGCTTCTTCTGAAGAGGCAGTGTGTTCCTGTGGCAATGCCAGGTGTGATGTCTCCCCACCGCCCGCCTCCCTGGAAGCCCCGCCCGAGTGACCCCTCCGCAGCCGTGTGCCCTGGCCCTCCCTCGGGCATCGGGCCCCCTGCACCCGCGGCCTCGCGTGGGTTCCCGTGCCCCCATCAGACCGGTGGGAGAGCTTCGTCACCCCAGACCGGCCTCCTGAGGGCGGGAGCTGTCTCCCTCCGTTCAGCCCCACCCCCGGGCTCTCACTCTCCGGACAGAGTCTGACCTTGGACTTGCTTTGGAGGGTGGGGAGGCTGCCACGGTGCCCGCAGGGAGGGCGGTGCCAGCACAGGCTGGTGTGCAGGAGGCTTGGAACACGCTGGAGCGAGCCGGCCTGGCCGCGGGCTGGGGGAGGCTCGCTCCGCACCAGGCACACTTCCCCCTCCACCCTCCGTCAGCCGGAGGGGACCTCCGAGCTCCTGAGCCGCCTCTCTCCCAAGAGGAGGAGCTGGCGGGATGCGGCAGCGAGGGCAGAGGCCGGACTGGGTGAGGCCCTCCTGGCAGCAGGTGGTTCGACACATGCAGGGCACCTGAGGGAGGTGGCAGAGGCTTCTCCGGGCACCTCAGACGAGAGACCCTTCCCCCTGCTCTGGGCGTTCATAACGCCTAAGCGGCCACCGCAACGCTGGGCGTGGGTGTGTTGCTTGTGGCAGGCATTTTCATTTTTTTTGGAATATAGATAGATATTTATTTATTTATTTATTTATTTATTTATTTATTTTTACAGAGAAGAAGGGAGAGGGCTAGAGAGTTAGAAACATTGATGAGAGAGAACTATGGATCAGCTGCATCCTGCATACTCCTTACTGGGGATGTGCCTGCAACCCAGGTCCATGCCCTTGACTGGAATCGAACCTGAGACCCTTGAGTCTGCAGGCCGACGCTCTATCCGCTGAGCCAAACCGGTTAGGGCCATGGCGGGCATTTTTAAATCAAAAGGAGTCCGAGTCTCTGTTTCCCACTTAGACTCCAAGCCCCTGAGGACAGCCTCTGCCTCAGGGTAACACATCACCCAGACAACTCCCGAGGTGGCGACGGCGCTGGGCAGAAGCAGGGTGCCCGGGGGGTGGGGCTGGGGGTGTCAGCCCTGCTCTTCCCGGAATCAGCCGTGTGACCCGCGCTAATGCCCGCTGGGTCTCTGACTCACCTCTCAGGTCTCTTCCAGTTCTGACAGGTGCTGACTAAGCGATAACCTTGAGCCTCCTTGGTCCCATCTGGGAAATGGGGATCGTAACCCCCCAGCACGGTTGGTAGAGCCGAGATGACCCAAAGCAGAACTTCTTTAGAAACGAGTTTAACTCCGCACCTCTCCTGGCCCACCGAGGCCCCGGGCGCGTCTAAGCCTTGCAGGTGGCACGGACCCGCCTTCTCAGGGAAACAGAGGCAGGTCAGGCTGGGCAGCAGCCCCACCAAACCTGCGCGGGGTCAGGGTCGAGGCTCTCAGGTGGGCGCCCTTGGAAAAGAGCCGTCTTCTCCCAGGACCGTGTGGACCTGTGCCCACGACCGACCGACCAACTGACCAACCGTGCAGGCGGACGCCACGGGCCGGGCGTGGGAAGGGGGGAGCCTGATGGGAGCACAGCTGGCCTGACCCTCTGCCCACCCCCAGCTCCCGGTGCCCCTGGCTGTGCTGTACCTGCTGTCCAAAGAGCGGCTGCTGACCTGCTGCCCGCAGAGGAGGCCGCTGCTCCTGTCCGCAGACGAGCTTGCCCTGGAGACCCAGCCTCCCGAGAAGGAAGCCACCGCCTCGCTGCCCCCGAAGGTTCAGGCGCACCCAGGTGGGGGCCCTCACGGCCCTTCACGCCACCGCCCCGCCCCCAGGGGGTGATGTAGGTCACGGGCGATAGAGGTCAGACAAGGACCTTGGCACCCGTGGTCTCAGGAGGCAGGAGATGGGAGCAGCCTGGCCGAGGGAACCGGGAAGGCAGACTTCCGGCTGCAGCCTCCCTTCTGCCTAGCCTTGCTGTGTGACCTGGGGCCAGTTACTTGACCTCTCTGAGCCTCGCATCCACGAGGACTGTGAGGTGGACAGGGGCTGATCCTAGCAGGTGGTTGATTGAAGCTAGAGAAGGGAGGAGGCGGGGAGCGGTCCTCCACGCTGGGCACGCAGGGGGCCGGGGCGGGGGCGAGGCTCAGCCCTGCGCTTCTGTCTCATCAGCGCACGAGGACCTGTTCAGCTGCTGCCAGAGGAGGAACTTCAAAGGGGCCCCCTACTCCTTCTTCGCCATCCACGTCACAGCCGCCCTGGTCCTGTTCGTGACCGACGGGATGACGGTGAGCCTGCCCTCGGGGCGGGAGGGCACCTCCCCAGGACCCTCCGCGCGAGACTCTGATCCGGGGGTGGCAAGAGCAGGAGAGGGGCAGGGAGGTTTCCTGGAGACCTCACCTGGGTTCAGTCGATCAGAAACTTCAAATAAAAGTTCTGGGGCGACTGTCTCCAGAATCGCTCACAGCCCCTTGGTAGGTACCATGGTCTTCTGTCCCAGACAGTGGTTTCCATGTTGGTGAACTCTGGAGAGAGGGGCCTGTAGGTTTGCTACTAAGGGCAGGCTACCCTGATTTTTATTTTATTTTATTTAATATATTTTACTGATTTTTTTACAGAGAGGAAGAGAGAGGAATAGAGAGTTAGAAACATTGATGAGAGAGAATCATGGATCAGCTGCCTCTTGCATACCCCCTACTGGGGATGTGCCCGCAGCCAAGGTACATGCCCTTGACCGGAATCAAACCTGGGACCTTTCGGTCCACAGGACGACACTCTATCCACTGAGCCAAACCGGTTTCGGCTCGATTTTTTTTTTTTAAGGGGTAGAGCCCTGTTCTGCCAAGCAGGAATCATGCCCAGTGAACACGGGGGCACTCTGCTCCCGGGAACACAATCTGCACCAGGGCTCCCTCGCCGGGTCCCACAAACCAGCCGCAGACGGACTGGGCCGGGCGGTCCCTCCGCCGGGGACCTCTGTCGCACTGGGTAGTGCCTTTTCCTAGAAATCTCTGCGGGTTAGACGGGACGGTGCGAGTGGCTGATTCACGGATGTCACGGGAGGGGCGCTCCGGGGAGGAAGTCCTGGCGGCCGGAGCTGGTGACTTCCACCTCACGGTGCTGACCTTGCCTGCTAGGAAAGTCACCCGGGGAAGTCGCTGCTCCGCCTTCACCTGTAAAATGAGATGCTTGTGCACACACACCCGTTTGCAAACGTCCTTTGGCGAAAAGCTTTCTGAGGAATCGGGACACACGGGACACGCAGTGGGCCCGGATCTGGCGAGGGGCCACGGAGCCTCCGCTCTCCCTGGGCCCCGGGGTCTGTCCTCGGCTCCGCTGTGTACTGGGTGATCTTGGGCCCTCAGCGAAGGTGATCAGACGTCCCTTTTTAAAAAAAATATATTTTATTGATTTTTCACAGAGAGGAAGAGAGAGGGATAGAGAGTTAGAAACATCGATGAGAGAGAATCATCAATCAGCTGCCTCTTGCACACCCCCTACTGGGGATGTGCCCGCAACCAAGGGTACATGCCCTTGACCGGAATCGAACCCGGGACCTTTCAGTCCACAGGCTGACGCTCTATCCACTGAGTCAAACCGGTTTCGGCCAGACGTCCCATTTTTAACAATTTGTTAAAAATTGGGACTGTCTGGCCAAAAGCGGGACATCTGGCCACCTTACCCTAAGCGGGCCCTTTGTCCGCCCCCACCTGCCCGGCCAGGGCGTCCCGTCCCCGGGGTCTGGCCCGGCCTGGCCACGGGGGTGCTCAGCGGGCCGGTCTCCGCAGGGCGCGTACTCCACCTTCGTGTACAGCTACGCCGTGGAGGAGCCACTGTCCGTGGGACACAAGACGGCGGGCTACCTCCCCAGCCTCTTCTGGGGCTTCATCACGCTGGGCCAGCTCGTCTCCATCCCCGTCTCCTCCCGCGTGAAACCGGCCACCATGGTCTTCATCAACCTGGTGAGTGGCCTCCGCGCTTCTCGGAGCCTCAGGAGAACCATCCGCTCCTGGCCCTGCCACGAAGGCCCAGGCCTTCGCTCAGGACCGAACGCTGCCCATGGGGTGGGTGTCAGGGTGGAGGGGGGAGGTGCTGGTGAAGAGGGATGGAGACCCAGGAGGCGGAGCCTACTCTTGCACCTTAGAGGGGGCACACAGTCCGTTTAAGCCTCCAGGGCTGGGAACTCACTCCCTGCCCATGTAGCCCCATCGATGCTCCCTTCCTCCCTCCGCCCTCCCCCCATCGGTGACTCCTGTCGTGTGTGGGAAGGTCCCAGCTCACAGCCTAGCTGCACGGGAAGAGGTGCTGGCGTTGGTCCCGTGCCCTCCTTGGTGCCCAGTTGGCAGAGCCTTGTGACCAGTGGAAGCCAGGGAAGCCCTGGCCTTCAGAATCGCCTGCCCTGGGCCAGAGCCTGGTGTCTGCATTTTGAAACTCAAGTATCCAGGCTGGTGTGTGGGCCGCCTTCCAGGAACTGGTGTGCCCAGGAGGCGGGAGGTCGGGGCCTGAGGGATGAGTCTTAGTTTTCACCCTGAAATGTATCTCTGCCACCACCTATGACCGAGGGTCCGGATTCTGGATTCCAGAAAGGTCTCTACCCAACCTCCTGGGAGGGCCGGACTGCCCTCCATAACACCCCTGTTCGAGGAGAGACACCCGGTCTGTTTTAACCTCCAGGGACTAGAACTCCCTCCCTTCCCACGTAGCCCCTCTCTTGTCAGAAAGTCCTTTCCTGGGTTGGGTTTCTAGCAGAAGGGGGGTTAGGAAATACTGTTGGGGCTACACAGACCGAACGTGATGAGTCTCAAGCAAGGTTTTGGATTTGCCTTATACGGGTTTACGACCTTCCAGAAGGAAATTTCTGTTCAAGGCAGATGGTGGTTGGGTGGGCCGGCAGAAGCCACACTCAGGAGATGAGGGTGGGAGGGGAGGGGGTTGGAGGTGGAGAGGAGAGCATGGCACATACTTCTGAGCGGGAGGGAGTTCTGTTGGGCAGGAGGCAGGGTGGGGTGAGCCTGGTTGTAGGCAGAGCTGAAGGGTTGGGGCCTGTGAAGACACCGTTGTCAGGGAGAAACTGAAGGAAGAGGGCCATGGGAAGGGGGTGGGGGTGGGAAGGGATGAAGAGCAGTGGGGAAGGCAGTGGGGAGGTCAGGGAGCCACGGGGACATGGTGCCCAGCAGGAAAAGAGGTGGAGAGCAGTGAGGGCGCAGGCCCTGCTGGTGGCCGCCCCGTAGGCCACGAGGGCAGCTGCTTAGAGAGGAGAGGGCGGGCATCTGGGTCTCAGAGAAGGAAGAACGTCTGAAGCATCCAAGGCACGAGAGGCATGACGGTGAAAGCTCACGCACAGTGAAGGTTTTTATTTTTTATTTTTATTTTTTAAATATATATTTTATTGATTTTTTACAGAGAGGAAGGGAGAGGGATAGAGAGTTAGAAACATCGATGAGAGAGAAACATCGATCGGCTGCCTTCTGCACACCCTTTACTGGGGATGTACCTGCAACCAAGGTACATGCCCTTGACTGGAATGGAACCTGGGACCCTTGAGTCCGCAGGCCAACACTCTATCCCCTGAGCCACACCAGTTAGAGCAGAGTGAAGGTTTTTAAAAGGGAGAATCGGATTCTCAGGCCCCCCCTCCAGAGTTCCTGGATTGCGAGAGGGCACAGGCCAGGCCTAGGGACCCCACTGGTGCATGATTGATGCTGGGGAGGGACCTGGGAGGGCTCCAGGGTATGGCTGGCCTGTCTTGCTCAGTCTCAATTGGCCAGACCTCAGCAGCAAGCTAACCTACTGGTCAGAGCGTCTGCCCCCTGGTGGTCAGTGCACATCACAGCGAGCGGTTGAGCTGCCCTTGCATAACATTAGCATATTACACTTTGATTGGTTGAATACACGACCAGACGCTTAGCATGTTAGGCTTTTATTATATAGGATCTGACTTTATAGAAACAGATGCACTCACCCAGGAGAATGTTACCTCAGCACTCTGGGGCTTGTAGAAGACCCGTATCTCCTGAGACATTAGGAAAAGCTCACCCAGACTCTGGGGGTGACACTTGTCTAAGCTTTGCCCTTGAAGAACCCCGTGTCAGCTTTGTGTCCTGCTGCTTCTTGGTGAGGCTTTGTGGCCCCTTGCAGAGCAGGAGGCTAGGGATCAGAGATCGGCTACTCTGAGGCCCAGATGGAGGGCACTTACACCCGGGCCTTCTGGCTGCAAATCGCTGCTGCCTGGGCTTCCTCCCATATACTTTTCTAAAAAAAAAATTTAAAAAAATGTTTTTCTTGATTTCAGAGAGAGAGGAAGGGTGAGGGATAGAGAGATAGAAACATCTGTCAGCTCCATCAGCTGACTCCTGCATGCCTGAGCCCACAACCCAGTCGGTGACCTCCTGGTGCCCAGGCTGATGCTCAATCACTGAGCCACACCAGCTGGGCCCAGATGCACTTTGCATAGAAATTAGTCAACATTGATGAACACATTTTTTATTCTTTTAAATATATTTTTATTGATTTCAGAAAGGAAGGGAGATGGGGGAGAGAGATAGATACATCCATGATGAGAGAGAATCATTGATCGGCTGCCTCCTGCATGGCCCACCCTGGGGATCGAGCCCACAACCCGGGCATGTGACCACAAAGGGAATGGAACCTGGGACCCTTCAGTCCACAGGCCGATGCTCTATCTACTGAGCCAAACCAGCCAGGGCGACAAACACATTTTTAAAAGAAATTTTTGAAGGGTTGTTTTACCAAAAACATTCCCATGGGGCAGTCCTCTGACTGAACTAGGAAGATTGCTGGCCCCCTAGCGCATCGCAGGGGCTACCATCTGCCTGTGGAGTTTGAGCCGAATCTGGGGGGAGCCACCCTGGGCTGCCACAGCCGCTGACCCTCTGTGGGCGTCCTGCTGGGACTCCTGGGCGCTGGGGACCCTGCAGCCACCACCGCCTCTCCTGCTTCCTCTGCGAACTTGGGGCCTTTAAGGTAAGGTGACCAGACACCCCGCTTTTGGCGGGACAGTCCCAATTCTTAACAATTTGTCTTGCGTCCAGTGGCGTTTTTAAAAAGTCCCGATTTTTTCCAAAAATCGGGACTTTTTTAAAGCGCCTCGGGACACGGGACAAACTGTTAAAAAAAGGGACATCTGATCACCTTACTTTAAGGAAGAAGCAGTTCCTCCTCGTGAGGAGTGGGGGACCCCTGCCTCCAGCCAGGAGGCACAGAGTTCATGACTTGGATGGAGTTCCCTGTGCTGACACACAGGGCCCTCGGGACAGTCAGGGCCCCTCACCGAGCACTTCTTGGGCGTAGGCAGTAGGCCATTTGTTGGCGATGGCTGGGTGGGCTCACCTCCCGGCCTCACATTCTCTGGGCTCCGTTGGCAGCTGGGACCACGGCAGGTGCAGTCCCCATGTCTTCCACCGGGTGGCACACTAAGGCCTCCCTGTCCAGGTCAGGAGACCGACTCCTCCAGGTGGCTCCTCTGATGGACACTCCGTGCTTCCCAGTCTCTAATCACCTCTGTTCCCGCTGTGACAGGTCGGTGCGGTGGTGACGCACCTGGTGCTCCTCGCCTTCTCCTACAACGTCGTCTTCCTGTTCGCGGGCACGGCCTGCCTGGGCCTGTTCCTCAGCAGCACCTTCCCCAGCATGCTGGCCTACACGGAGGACATCCTGCAGTACCGAGGTGAGCGTGCACGCGTGCAGGGTGAGCGCAGGGCGGGCTGCTCCTTCCCATCCCTCCCCCCATCTTCTGTGATGGTGGGAACAGGCTCAGCAGGGGGCTGCTCTGATCCAGAGGGCTTCCCTTTTCAACATGGTACCTCAGAGTGTGATTTCAGGCCTCAGAGGAGCAGCACGCTTCTCTCGCCCACTTCCTTTCCCCCGTAGTGCTCTCTCCTGACCCCCCAGCTGGCGTTGTGTGTAACATGCGTGGACAGTCCACAGCACAGGAGCCGCAGCCCAGGAGAGGGGTCTGACACGTGCCCTCCCGCTTGTCCCGTGGCTGCTGCCCCACACAGGACTGGAGCAGCGCCCACCGCTGCTGGGGGTGGTGACGCAGCCTCTCTGATGTAGAAACCTCGAGTTCTCGTCACTCGTTTCCTGCTCGTTCTGTGCCCTCTCAAACGCTGGGTGCGAAAATGGTTGGAAACTAGTTGTGTGTTGAACAGGGAACATTACCAGTAGAACAGCGGTCACCAACCCGGATGGTCCGGGAGGTCCGAAAGGCTGGCGACTGCTGCTTTAGAAGTGCCTGCAATGCCCTAGGCCCCTGGCCGGCAAACTCATGAGTCCACAGAGCCAAATATCAACAGTGCAACAATTAATTTATTTTGAGCGCCACATTTTTTAAACTTAGACTTCTAACTCCACTTCTTCAAAATAGACTCGCCCAGGCCGTGGTATTATTTTGTGGAAGAGCCACACTCAAGGGGCCAAAGAGCCGCATGTGGCTCGCGAGCTGCGGTTTGCCGACCACTGCCCTAGACTCTGGGCCTAGAGTGTCGGAAAAGCAGCATTAAAGACGGATGGTTTCTTTTGAGGAGGAAGGGGGGAAATTGGTATGGTGGGGTGGAGGTGGGGGTCAGAGCCATTAAAGCTACTAGTACACGGCCATGAGAGTATCCTTGAAATCTAAGGATAATCCCCAAACCTCAAGCGAGTAAATGAAGTCAGGAAATAATGGTGATGTAGGTCACACACTGCATCCCACAGAGTTTTACGTGATCAGCAAGGGCTAGAGTTTAACAGTAATAACAGTAGGTCCAGTGGTTGGTTCTGCCTGCAAACGATCCCTCAGACCCAGCTTCTCTTCCTCTCTCCCCACCCTGCCTGGCTCGGGCCTTGGCCTTCGTCACTTGCCTGCTAGGACGAAGTACCCAGCTTTCCCCGGATCTGGTCGCCTCCTTGGCTGCCTTGGCTTGTCTCCTGGCCTTCACCGTGGCCCCCATCAGAGGTTCTCCGTGCCGGTTCCCCATTAGAATCACCTGGGGCACTTGTTACACAGCCCAGCACCTGGGCTTCCTCTCCTCCAGGTCGATGCCATTGGTCGGGAGCTACTGGGTGGTTCTAACGCGAAGCCAGGCCGGGGGGGGGGGGGGGCCTCACGCAGCCGTCCCAGAGCTGCCTCCACAAGCCGGCCCTGACCTTGGCGTCTTCCCGCGGAGCTCTCTTCCTTTCCCGCCTCCTCCCACCCTTCTCTCCCTTGGAGCTGGCATTCCCTGGCACATGAACCTTCTGCATGAAAAACCTCTCGACTCTGACTCCATCCCTCCCGGAAGCTTCCTTGATCCCCACGGAAAGGTACCCCCTCCTCTGTCCCTGCTTCTCACGTTGGATCCCCTCAAGGCTTCTGCACCTGGCTATCTGCATCTTCTTCCCAACAACACTCCCCGGGGCACCAGCCGGGCACCAGGGCCGGGCGAAGGCTGTGAGGTCAGCAGACCTGAGTACCCGTCCGGCCTTCCTCTCTCTGGCTTTGTGGCCTGCTGTGACTCGATTTCCTTCCCCTCCGAGCCTCAGTCTCCTCCTCTGGAACGTGGGGATGCCAAGACTTCGCCGTGAGGATTGTTTGCGCATTAGAGGAAACGTGAAGCTTTTGACTTAGCAGCTTGCCTGGCTCCCAGGGGCCCAATATCTACGTTAACTCTCTTCGTCAGTGCTCATCACAGTACCTGATGCACCTGGGAGGTTTTCGAACGAATGGGAGGAACAGACATGAGTGGGATTCAGAGAAGGGAGAGGCCAGTGGTAAATCTCGATGTGGCCTCCTGGGAGAGATGGTACTGAGCTGGCCCGGTATTTGGAAAGGCAGAAGGAAAAAGGAAAGGCATTCTGGGGAGGGGCGGGGCAGGGCGGGGACGTGGCCAGTGTGAGAGAAAACGCAGAGACAGGGAGGAAACTGCTTTATTCAGAAACACAGCGCATGCAGCCACTGCACTAACAGCCAAGGCACGTCCTCTCGGGGGCTTGACCCCAGTGGGCGGGGCTGGGAGGGGAGATGCTGGTGAAGGGTGGAGACTCAGGAGGGGTGCGAGGACATGAGAGGGATGAGGGGCTGAGGGAGCACCGAGGAGCAGCAGCTCACCCAGGCTGAGGGATGGAGGAGGAGAGAACAGAAGAAAATCCAGGCAGGACTGGAAGCTGAGCAGGAGTTTGCCAGAGGAGGAGGGGGGAGTGCACGTGAGGGACCAGGGGGTGAGTGTGAGTGAGCAGGCAGGTGCGAAGCTGATGGTTCCTCCTGGCCGGAGAGCAGCCTGCCAGCAGGGGTGAGAAGTCTGGCTCTCCGCAGGCACAGGTTGTAAAGGGCCCTGGGAGCCCCGCCTGGCACTTGGGCTTGATCCTGAGCCGGCTGGAGGGTGTAAGCAGAGCACTGGCCTGGCTCCGGGGCTTGTTCTGTCCAGGACTGTGCTAAGCACTCCATGGCTCACCCTGGAGTGACCCACACAGCACCCTGTGGTGCCCATTTCACAGAAGGGAACGGAGGCCCAGAAAAGGGAGGGAACTGGCCTCAGGTCACAGCGCTGCAGGGACACGGCGGGGCGTGGGACCAGGCTGACTCTGAAGTGTAGGCTCTGAACGTCGGTGCCAGGCTGGCGAGCGGTGCGCTGGCCAGGGGAGTGCCAGGACACCATTCTGCCCAGAGTGGAGGGGCCTGGAGTCAGGAGGTCCTTGTGGAAAGGTGGATGGCGGGAAGATTGGGAAGGGCCCCGAATGCCAGGCTAAGCGACTTGGAATTTCCCAGGAAGACAAGGAACAGTTGAAGGTCTCAGAACACGGGTCGTAATGCTAGCAGGACCTGAGCATCCCGAAGCCCGGTTGGGAGCTAAAGTCTGAGGACCCTTAGGAACGGCAGGTCCTCCTGGGCAGCCGTGCTGCTCTTCGGCCCTTCCCCGAAACCACCCGGTCACGCCGGCCGCCTTCTGTCTCCCGACTTGTTCCCGCTAATCCAAGCCTCCTCTCTTCCTAGGCTGTGCGACCACAGTGCTGGTGACGGGGGCGGGACTGGGCGAGATGTCCCTCCAGATGCTGGTTGGCTGGGTAAGTGGAAAGCTCTGAAGGGGGGTGGGGGGGAGAACAGGAGCACTTGAGGTGCACTCCTTCTGGCAGGTGGGAAGGCAAACAGGGCACTCGCGGTGTGACCTGTCCCCGCTGCTGAGCCAGCCCTGGAAGCTGAGCCTCCACACGGGGAACCTGGAGCTGGGAAGGGTTGCGAGCGTCCAACACAAACACAAGTCCTGTCTGGGAGCGGGGCCAGGGGGCCCCGTGGGAGCACTTAGCTCCCGGGCCTGGGCCTGGGATAGGCCGAGCCACAGGGTTCTTTGTCCAGGGCTTCTCCACTGGCCACTCCCTCCGCCTGCCTCCCGGAACCTCGGGCCACCTGCAAAGGGCCCGGCTTTCCTGCCCACACCCTGTGCCCGCCCTGGCCCCGGGCCGGCTTTCCAGTTCTTGTCCCACCCCCACTGGGCATGTGCTCTCCAGGGGAAATGAGCCTGCTGTTTACTGAGGACTGGAGTGTAGACACTGCCACCCCTTTCTGCAGCGGAGCGTACTGTAGCCCAGGTCAACTAAGCAGCTCTCCTCGGTCCTCGCCCTTCTAGGGACTGTTCGGACGACTCCCAACCCAGGTCTTTCCGTCTCCAGAGTCCCCTCCTCACTGCTCCCCTGCTCGCTGCCCTGGCCTGCTGGGCGGGGAGGAGCTGCAACACCCAGGGCCCTGTTTGTGCAAACAGGGGGACTCGGATGGGCTTCCGTGGAGGCTACGGAGGAAATGTACTAATTGCGGAAGTTGGTGGTGGGTCCATGGGCATTCCATGTGCTGCTTTGACGTGTGTGTGTGTGTGTGTGTGTGTGTGCGCGCGCGCGTCCATGTCTGTGTATCCTCTGCAAAGCTCTGGTCAGGCCTTGTAGGGAGAGGAACCCCAAGTGACTGGCGGTGTAAGGAAGAGAGGGACGTTTTTCAGAAGGTTCCAGGCACAGAGCTGAGAGGGATGCCAGGTCCCCGGGTCCGACCCCTGCTGCAGAGCAGGAGTTCCGTCTCCTCCAGAAACATGACCTTGAGACGAGAGCCCAACACGTTTCTGCGGCCCACGTTCTGCGGTCCGTTGGGGTGGCGTCCTCGGCGTGGCCAGAAAGCCTGCCAAGGGTCGCTTCCGCCCATGCATCTCTGCGTGAGGCCCTGACGCCGGGTCTCCGTGCCTTCCCCTTTGCCAGGTGTTCCAGGCGCGGGGCAGCTACAGCTTCCTGGTCTGCGGCGTGATCTTTGCCTGCTTGGCTTTCTCCTTCTACATCTTGCTCCTGTTTTTCCACAGGATGCACCCTGGACTCCCATCAGGTAGGGAAGAGGCTGTTCCCACACAAGGGGAGGAAGGCAGAGGAAGGGGAGGACGTGGGAGGGAGATGTCTGGCCCTCAGCACGCCACCAGGGCTGTTCAGTTCCAAGAAAAATGCAAGGAAATGTTTGCTTTTCCACCGCTTCCTCTCCCCTCTTCCTGCTTTGCTGGGCGATTGTCTGCGCTGCGCTCTCAGGCCAGGAGCGCCAAGGAGGGGCTGGCTCACGGTTTCTCTGCCAGGAGAGGGGCATGGACGTGACCTTGGCTTCCTGCATCCCATGGGCCTCAGGACCGCGGGCCAGGACTCGCCCGGCCTGCACGGGGCCCCGAAAGGCAGAGCCTGCCTCCTTGGCTGGAACTCAGCCCAATTGGCCCTCTCTCTGCAGTTTAGGATTTTGACTCGAGTCCAAATCCTTTTGTCAAAAAGAAGTGCTCAGGCCAAGGGACAAAGAAAAGCTCCTCAGGACAGGCACACCTAACAGTCTCCCGGCCACAGAACCCGGCTGGGGGAGTCCCAAAGCTATTTTCGTTGCCTGAGCCCTCCCCTGCTTTCCCGCCCAAGCTCCCTACATCCCCACAACTGCTTCAGCCGTGCACACGGCCAGGTCCTAAGAGCCCTCGTCCTCCCCATGAAAAGCTAAGGCTGGAGGGACAGGCAGCCACAGCCCTCTCTCAGCAGGTGGGCACGTGCCCGCCGTAAGCAATCAGTGTAAAGCCCAGGAGAGCAATGGGGTCCCCCAGTCAGCTCTAATGACAGTCGTGCTGTGAGGTGCCCGGTACCAGCGGCCGACTGGTCCAGCACCCAGCACATAGCCCTCCCTTGAGGCCCCACGTTCAAGCTGTGTTTGCTGAATGTGCAATGAGTAACACTTCACTAATTCCCTAATCAAGGGAGACAAAAAGAAAGACATAGTCCCTAAGCTCCAGGCACTAGTCTCCACAAACTGCCTCCACCTACAGCTGCCAGAACCAGTAAGTCTAACTTTTCCACCCGATTCACGAAGGAGCCACAAGCGGCAGAGACGCAAAGGCTGGGGAAGCCCTCAGAACCGGCTGCCGCTCTGTCAGAGCCGCGGAAACGTGCCGCCTGGTTTTTATTGTTGTTGTTTCAGTTCCTCCCCAGGACAGACTACATGGGACGGAAAGCGCCGAGCACTACCAGAGATAGAAGTGGGGGAAAGAGGCAGGCGAAGACCTCCAGCCTCTTGAGCACCAGCAGAGACCAAAGCGTGGAAGAAAGCTGGGTGGAAGCGGAGGCGATCGACCCCTCAGGAGCCTCGGGTCAGGTCTCCTCCACTAAATACTGGCTTAGAGGAAATCAAATCGAGTTCTGGTATCGGGGTGCTCCCTGGGCAAATCATTAGGACTCTACCCGGCTCTTCCGGCGACTCTCCTCCTCCCTGGGGACACTTGCTCAGAGCTGTCCAGGATGCCCGCCCGGGGGGGATGAGGACGATCCTCACTCCTCTCCACTGGCCGCCTCCCGCACAGACCGCACCCCGGGTTTGAAGATCACTTAGAGGACTTTGAACACCCAGGTTGAAACTACAAAGCTTGATGATCACTGTTCTATGTAGATCTACTTTAAGTTAATCAGAACAAACCCCAAGTTATTCTGTGGCATGCTCATAGGATTTGTGTGCTTTTTCCTTATTCATAGTCCAAAGTCCCTCAAATTCCCGCTGCTGGTATCAGTAGCTCATCCGTGATCTAAAACAGCACAAGGAAACGTTGAATCTTGCTTTCTTCGGGACACTAACTCAGTGGTATGCTGGGCTAGCGCCTGCCAGTTTATAAAAAATAAAAATAAAGGCTGTTTGTTAAAATTTCATTTTGAGAGCTGTTTGTTAAATGCAGCCATTATTAAAGTTTGAATTATAGAAACTTCATTACATTAAAAACAAAGGTAATGCCTACTCAAAACTCATCACTTCCTGATTTTTCTCTACCTGTGCTCTTGGAGGAATCGATGACTGTCGTATTGGTATCGGTATTGTAGAAACGCTATCACTTTCAGTGATAAGGTGTTGCTGACTTGAGGTCAGCCAGAGCGGGAGTATTTATACCACAGCAATTGGCAAAAGCTACAAAGCATGGCTTTCTCCCCTAGAGGTGTTGAACATTTGCCAGCACATCACTGCTAGAAATCAATGCGAATTGGTCCAGACATTGCCTGAGAGAATGAGGTGGATGTTCTGTATTTCTTTACTGACACTGACTAGAGCTTATAAAAGGTGTAGCAATGGCTCGAAAATATCTTAAGTTAAACTTTACTCCTATAGAGAAAACAACTCTTTACAGGCATCCCTCAGGAATATGGTCCAGTTCCAGACCATCGCAATAAAGCGAGTGTCACAATCAGGTGAGTTGCAATCTTTTTGCTGGTGAGTTGCAATCTTTTTGCTGATAGAAGCTCTCGCCTTCAATTTGTAAAAAAAAAAAAAAAAAAAAAAAAAAAAAAAAAAAAAGCAACATCTGTGAAACACAATGAAGCAAATCCCAATTAAATGAGGCATGCCTGTGTACCAATGTCAAGTTCTTGGACAAAAACGGGACTTCTGAGCAATTCAAGCAGTGCAGTACCCTGAGAGCCGTGCCCGCCTGCCCGTCCAGAGCCAGTGCCGCAGCCCCTCACGCCCGGCGACGGGAGGGGTGAGCCCTGTGGCCGTTAAGTCATGACGTGGCTGTCACGGTGACTGTATTTCGTGCGCCTGCTGTCTGTATACACATGTACACTATAAAAAGGAAGTAGGTCATGGTTCGCAGTGACCTGTCCAAGGAAGGTGGTTCGCATGCCCGGCGAGAAAAGGTGCGTCCTGGGCCTGTGGGCATTGCTGTCGGCAGCAGGAGGGACGATGGCCTCCGTGTCTCGCTGTGGCCCTGGGCAGGGACGTCACTGAGGCTCCTCCAGCTTCGCTTTTGTCATCTGTAAAGTGATGTTTCTAAAAGGAATTGCTCTACCTCAAAGGAGTTCTGAAAAAATGTGGTGAATTTGTGGGATTATTCATATGCCTGACAAATTGCTTATACAACCTCCTCATAAGCAGCTTAGAAATGGTTCCTCTGTTTGTTATATGTCTATGGTTAAGTCAAACAGATCCAAATTCTTTTGAAAGCTGGTGGTCTCTGGGTATAGTTTTAAATAAGTCAGTAAATACTTTAAAAAACCGATTTGGCTCAGTGGATAGAGCGTCGGCCTGTGGACTGAAAGGTCCCGGGTTCGATTCCAGTCATGGGCATGTACCTTGGTTGCGGGCACATCCCCAGCAGGGGGTGTGCAGGAGGCAGCTGATGGATGATTCTCTCTTGTCGATGTTTCTAACTCTCTATCCCTCTGTCTTCCTCTCTGTAATAAATCAATGAAATATATTTTTTCTAAAAAAGTATTCCATGCCAGCCAAATGTAAATATGTAACCTAACGGTAGGGAGTGCCTAACCAGGACAAAAAGAAAACAGCTGTATTTCCCCTCCCCGCAGGAAAATATCCTTTTTATACAGAGTTAGAAAGAAGAATCTGTGGCTATATCTACAATGACCAAGATTAACGTGTGACTATAGAAAATAAGACTGAAACAAATTTAAGACTGCCTTTTCTAAAATAAAACATTTTAAACACATTGAACAAGTGTGCTATCTATTACCAAGGGCCATTGATCCTTTTATAACACCTCAGAAACGAATGACCAAAGGTCCCCGCAAAGACAGGCCTGTATCCCAGTGTGAGTTCACATGGCTAATAAACAAAACCTTACCAGACCGGCCCGGGAACCATGATTCCCTCTTAGGATCAGAATGAAGAGAGGCGGGTGGGTGCTGACGCCAGGCTCACACTCAGCTTCCTGGTCTTCTTTTGAGTTGGGAGATTCCAGGCTGCTGTGGACATTCCGTCTCTGGAGTTCCCTCTGCGACTGGACGCGGGTTCGCTAACGGGAGGTACCGTGACAGGAGCTGGAGAGAATTCACTCATTCGTCCAAAGGGATTTGTTGTGCACCTACTAATATGCTCAAGGCACTGATCGATGTGCAAAGATGGAGCAGAAAATGCGATGGAAGGCACTGCCTCCCAGGGATCACTCTGCAGTTGAAGACACAGACGGTGAACAGAGATAACATACCACAGGTTGCGGGATACCTGAGGGCCACAAAGAAAAGTAAAGCCGGGAAAGGGGTGGGAGAGGGCATGGCACGAGATGGCCTGGAAGGCCTTTCTAAGGAAGTACCGCTTGTGCAGAAACCTGAAGGACAGACAGGAGCAAGCCATCCAAGTACCTGGTCAAGACTGGACCAGGCGGGGGCCACAGTGCAAGGGCCTTTGGCTGCACTGCTCATAGTGTGAGGACTGGCCAGAAGCCAGCGTGCTCCCGTGCATGAGGGAGAAGAGTGGCAAGAAATGGGTGGGAGTGGGAGCTAGGGGCCGGATCATACAAGCCGTGTGAGGAGTCTAGATTTTTTTTTTTAAGTTATGTGAGTTATCAGAAGAGTTGTGAGCAGGTGTGAGGGACAAGAATAAAATTGTGGACACAGGCAAGGTTACAATTGCAATAAACTACATAGGAGATGGTGCCTAAGACATAGATGTGAGAGGAAGGAAATGAGTAATTCAGAAAGCCATTTTGTTAAAAATATTTACTTAAAAAAATACAATTGTCCATATCTAGTTGCACATGTATCTATTAACATATCTATATAATTTGGGACTTTAGCAAATTTGATATAGTGCTTAAAGCCAGCTAGCCATCGTACAAAGCAAATTCCTGTCAGTTCTTATATAAAATAGTTTTTAATGTCATCTAATAAAATGCTTATCGTTACAGAATTTAACAAAATTTTTGCATAACACTTGAAGTGATAGAAAAAACACACATGATCATCTGACACATCTCTTCTGTGTTAATGCCACAGCAGACTTTTCTTCTGAATTACTGACTGGGGGAGTGGAAGTTAAAAGTTTATTATTTAATACCATTTAATTTTCAAGTGATGTCAACACTGAAAATGAGTAGAACTCATTTAAAAATTGTTTGTTCTTCAAAATACAAAGTTAAACACTTTATTTTTTGCCAACTTGATTATTTGGTGACTAAAAGGCATAATTAAAAAAAACTAATTTTAGTAAAATGTTATTGCCTCAAACAAAGCTAACCAGTAGCAAAATGACTGGACTGAGTTTCATATACAACCTTCCCTACCCACAAAGATAAACGAAACTGCCAGAAGGCAAAAGTGAAAAAAGAGATATGACTATAATTAGAAACAATTGAATGGCCAAATGGGATAAATAGGCCTTACATAATAAAACAGTAATTGTATTGCTTTCTATCTGCATCTTAATTTCACTGAAACAGAGCAGGGAAGTTCATCAAATATACTACTTTACCACATAAGCAATGAATATAATGTACATACAAAGGCCACGGTTCTATAGCCCTCAAAAATAATAAAAAAATATGAAATATCTTAAAAGGAACTGCACCCCCTAAACAGAAAGTAAACAACCATGATTACACAGAAAAGAAACTTAAAACTGAAGAGTTTACAAAGTTGAGTATCATCTACCAATTGCAAATCATCAAAAGTCATACATTTCTACCAAGCAGAATATTAAAAGCTTATAAGTTATTTAAAACATCTTAGGCAAAAGAGCACACCTACAGCAATTCATTTACCTTTTCTCCAAACAGTCTTAAGCTCCAGAAAACATAAATGATAAATAAACTTTAATTCCCTGACTCTTAACATCCGTAAGTTGGAATTTGACTAATAAAATAATCATTAAGTGCTTCCAGTTATTAAAAACATTAAAAACAGTGCTAATAATGGTGCCCCCCAAAAAAGTGCCACGTGAATTAATACCAATATTTGGCATTCCCAGCCCTGAACTCCAGGCACACTTTAATGACTACGTTGGCTAGAACTCTGGCACAGCCACGGGACACCCCCACCCCCGTCCAGAAGACCCCAGGTCTGTCCTAGCACCGCTCACAATCCTCAGAATGGACAACAGAGATGAGATGGGAAACAAAGCAAAATTGAGAACCTTCAGCCCAAGATACGCTGAGGTTTCTAATACTTATTACATACAAGTTAAGAGGTTAAATGAAGCTACCATGTCAGAATTCCTGCACTATTATACCAATCCATGGGCAAATCGGTACTTCAGAAATATG